CTTCTGGTTAGCAGTCAAATGCCTTAGGCACTATGCCACCAGATCTCCCAGTCCCATGTTAGGGAAAGCATAAACAAACATTGTCTCCTAAATTCTTTCTCCAAAATAGGCTTTCCTGATGTAGAGACAGAAATACAGCAGATATTTGAGGAGCTCCAACTGAGTCTGAAAGGAGCTCTGGTGGTGCAGTGTTTAAAGCAGTTGTCTGCTAACCAAAAGGTCAGCCCTTTGAACCTACAAGCTGCTCCCTAAGAAAAAGATACTACATACAGTCTGCTTCTGTAAAGATTTATAGCCTTGGAAACCCTATGGGGTGGTTCTGCTCTTTCCTATAGGGTTAATAGAAGTGGGAATTGACTCAAAGGCAGTGGGTTTGGTTAGGTTTTAAATGAAGCTGAAGGAGTTGGGGATGTTTGTATTTGCATCTGGATTCTTCTAGAGACACAATGCACGTCTTTGCACTGGGGATGCATTACTTAGCAGAGAGGGTTTCCTAGAAAGCCTGAACAGAATTGAGTTTACTCTCTGCTCTAGCAAATGCCACATTGGTTTCGGTCCTATCAGTGGAGAGCACTCAGATCAGAACAAAGCTTGAGAGCTCAGTGGTTAAACAATGGCTTCAGAGACAGATCATAGGGGTTTGAACCCTGGTTCAGAACCCATTAGCTGCAGTACTTTAGGGCAACTTGATCTCTCAGTGTCCCCTTCCCTAATTTGTAAAATGGTGATGGTGAGAGTACCCACTTCACAGTGTTGTGAGGGTTAAAGAAGCTACTGTGTAAAGCACTTAGGACGATGCCCAGCACATGGACAGTTGGGAGTGTTAGCTATTATAATTATTGTGTAAACACCTTAAGACTCTCATAATCTTTGCTTATAGTCTTGGAATACTTTACCAGCAAGTTTTATGATTAATTATATATTACTATGAAATACAGGTAGTAATTGGCTCTTTGTTTGATTTTCATAACCATTTAAATGTGGTGCTTCTCCAGTTATGGGCTTCACCATTGAAATCTTGCTATTTGCTGATTACAATATTCATTTTTTTCAATAGAATTGCCTATATTTGTGCCTTTTAATTTTTCTATTAATAACAAAACTACTTAAATTTGTAGTATTTATTCTAAAGCCTTTGAGAGTTTGGTTATTAAAATAAATGAACAAACTATAAGAAATACAAAAGAATATTGAACATTCATATAATTTTTATCTTTACTATTAGGTCTTGAAGGAGGCTTAGTGGCACAATGTTTAAGCACTCACCTGCTAACCTAAACATCGGTGATTTGAATCCACCAGCAACTCCATGGGAAAAAGACATGGCAGTTTGCTTCCATAAAGAAGCCCTATAGGACGGTCCTACTCTGTCCTGTAGGGTTGCTGTGAGTCAGAATTGACTCAGTGGTGAACACTACACTGCTTTATTTCATGGGATGAGATTCTAATCCCTGTTCTTCATTCATCATATAGGTGGACAGTCCTATTTTGCCACACTTACAGAATGCTTAAAAGCTACACATAAGATAATTCCCATGAATTATATCAACAAATGAGAAGTGCTGGGCTAAAGTAAGGCTTATGGAATTCGAATCTAAACTTCCCAACATTAGCTTAGGAACATTGCCTTAAAACCAAGCATTTCTTACTTCCTTTCCTCATGATTTGTATCTTTCATTTTATAATGCATTAATAATCTTTGCAATATGTAACAGTACTATTTTTTATTGAAATGTAATAAAAGAAGATTGTTACAAAATCAAATTTAATGAAAGACTTTTGAGCAGCTTTAGAATAATTCTACTAAAGATCAAATGATTTAAATCGTCATTTCATCTTAATTTCTTTTCACTTCAAATAGGAGATCAGTGCAGTTAACTATTCAACTATCCATGCCTCCTATTTTGGAACAAACAAGATGACGCATATCAACATACCTGGGTGGAAAACAGATGGCAAATGGCAGAGAGACATGTGCAATGTATGTGTGAATTAAGTCTTTACACTAGTGTGAAAGCCTTATGTTTAACATGAATGTACTCGGCAAGGTATTAATCATATTCATGGGAGTCCTCCATTGGTTACCCATATTGTCATGTTCCTGGATGTGAACTACATTAATGTAGACTGGATTCATGGATCCTGGGCCTCCAATGAATGACCCTTTTTCCATTCATTATGAATTGAATATATTCTAATAGGGGAAGATTCTTATCATCAGTTTTGGTAAATTATTACCTTTGATAAAGGAGTAAATGTTATGATCAATTTCTAATTCACTTTAAGGAAAAAGAATTTCCAAGTTCACTGCATGAGATTAATCTTCGCCTTTCATACTCAAGATTAGTAGATGGATAACCCAGTAAGCAATTAATTAGTTCTAAAACCATAGTGGTAGTGCCTAAGGCACTTGACTGCTAACCAGAAGGCTCGCAGTTCAAACCACCAGCCACTCCTTGGAAGGAAGGTTGAGCAATCTACTTCCATAGTGATACCGCCTCAGAAACCCAAGGAGGGGTCTGACACGACGGCAAATAACAACAACAAAACCATATAATGTAGTAAGGTCATCTGTCTGAACTCATCACTTCTCCTACTTACTAACGCTCTGATCTTGGACAAGTTATATAAACTATGTGTGCTTCAGTTTCTTTACCTGTAAATTGAAGATAACAAGAGTACCTATTTCACAGAGTGGTTGTGGAGATTAAATAGGTTAATGGATGTAAAAAGGTTGGAACGCTGCCTAACAAATGGTAAAGTCTCAATAAATAACAACTAATGTTATTTCTTATTATAGAATCAATTGTTCAGATGCTTTAAAAAAACACATTTCTTTTTTTTAATGCATTTTATTGAAATATAATTTATGAACAATGAAATACACAAAACTAAAGTGATGTGGGTCAATGCATTCTTTGTTTTCAGTGTTCCCTCCTGTCCTCTCCCCTCCCACCCCTGGCAAGAAACATAGAAAGTTTCCTTCCATATATAAACCTTTTCTTGACCCTCCACAACAACGAACTGATACTATATTTATCCTTCTGTGATTGACTTACTTCACTCAGCATAATGTCCTCCAAGTTCATCCATGTTATGCGGTGTTTTGCTGACTCCACATTATTCCTCGGTATTACACAGTATTCCATTGTGTGTATGTACCATCGTTTGGTTACACATTCTACTGTTGATGGGCACATAGGTTGTTTCCATCTTTTTGCTATTGTAATTTGTTGTCATTTTGTTACATACTTTTTCATGGTGTTGATTTCTTTGTTCCATACAATTTTCTATGCTGAGCTTGTTTTGTTTATGAATTGTGATATCATTTCCTTTGTTGCTATTGTTTTAGTATTTGCTAAGAATTTGTGCAGGAGCTCTGGTAGCATAGTGCCTAAGGCACTTGACTGCTAACTAGAAGGCTGGTGGTTCAAACCCACCAGCCACACTCCTCAGAAGGAAGGGTGGGCAATCTACTTCCCTAGTGATACTGCCTCAGAAACCCAAGGAGGGGTCGCTATGAGTTGGGTCCGACTCAACGGCACATAACAACAACAACAACAAATATTTGTGCTGGTCCTCTTTT